CCTTGATAGGTCACCTGAGTATAATACAACACTGTAAAGGATCCATAGAAGTATAAAACAAAATTAACTGATAGATGAAACTATTTTGCCAAAGAATTTAAAAAATCTGGTAAAAATACCCTTGCTTATTGTAACTTGTGATATGGGAGTGATCTCCTTGGGATCATACTTGGTTTTCCAAAGTCTTACAGGGATGATAATGAATGCAAAATACACAAAGTGTGACAGAAGGACAGATGAAAGGACAGAAGAATGGAAGACAGACATGACAAACACTAACGGTATATACCCTGGCCATATTCATGGTGGGTCATAAAAAATAATTATGATGGTATAAATTATTGAGAATGATAGACAGAAAGGGGTAAGGTACATAATATGCCCTGGCTATTTTATGGCTGGACATAAACATAGGTAATCAGAGATTACAGAGCTCAACTCAACTAATGTTGTCTTTAAGTAAGGCAAAGTCCCACATTAAATTAATAATCTAGTAGCGTGCATCCCTAGATGCAACATTTATGCAATTTCGGTTTGATAGGGCTTGCAGTTACTTGGGAATGGATTTATCTAAAAACTTTAAACTAGTCACTCATTCCGAAAATGTAAGGCCAAAATAAAATTATTGTTTGTTTGGAATTGCCTCCCACCTCATTGAAATGACCCCTCCTGGAAAAATTTTATTGACCAAAAATAAAAAGATTTTTTTTTATTCAATCAATTCTTGGTCTGTTACCACATGTGCCACCCAATCACTTAATAAGTGTAGGATCTTAGCAAAACTGGGTTCCTGGTTGATGGGAGCTACCCTTTGCAAAAAGGTTGAAAATAATGTGTTCATCCCTTATTGAGATTTTTATCATTAATTTTTAATTTAACTTTAATTTTGAAAAAAAAAATATTTTCCCTCCCTCTCTCCTGGGTCTGAAACCTCCAATGCGGCAATTCCTTCCAAACAATTTTTTAAGGATGGCCTAAGTCAAATCCAGCATCTGAAGCAAGTTTGAGAGTGTTCATCCCTTGATGCACTATCCATGCAAGTTTGGTTCAGATACATGTAGGTCATATTCTTATAGTTTTTTTGGTTATGGATCTGCTCCAAAAAATTGAACCTGATTACTCATCTGGAAAATGCACAGTCTTCGACAAACCCCGGGAGTCCGATGCCCGGGACCTGGTAAAATTGGAAGCGGGCATGTGGAAATTGCATACTTACAAGCCCGAAGGGCATGTAAACTCTGAGGCTTAAGCCTCACTATTATCAAATTAAATAATACCAATAACATTAAATGTACTTAAAAGTCTTATTTTTCATCTAAAGTGGAGCACCAAATAAAATTTTAACGATAGTTTATTCTACCGCGATTTCCAAGGAACTCTTTTGCAAAGGAGACACAAAAAGTGTACAGGTTGAAAACAATATTAATGGTGAGACAATAGATCGATAGAAATGGATTTCGGATCATTTCCTTGGCATGAAAAGGCAAATAAGAATAAAATTACTTGATAAAATTCTGGGCATGTAAATATTTGTTCGGGCTAGCGTAATAAGTGGTTAAACCTGCACGAAGGGCATGTACTGAAAAAAAGATTTGGCGAAGACTGAATGCAGGTCAAATCCAGCATCTGAAGCAACTCTAGTGGTGTGCATCCTTTGATGCATCATCTATACAAGTTTGGTTCAGGTAGGCCTTAAAGTTTCTTGGTCATGGACCTCCCCCTAAACCTTTAACCTGTTAACTCATCTGGAAAATGTAGGTCAAATCCTGCATCGAAAGCAACCCTGGTAGTGCATCAATAAATGTATCTTCAGTGCAAAGTTGATAAGCGTAGGGCTTATAGTCACTTTAGAAAGAAACTGCTCCAAAAACTTTAACCGGTTGCTCATCTGGACAATGTAGGTCAAATTCAGCATCCCAAGCAACCCTAGTAGTGTGCATCCTTAGATGTGCCATCCATGCAAGTTTGGTCCAAGTAGAGCATATAGTTATTTTAGAATGAACCTGCTCCAAAAACGTCAACCTGGTCACTCATCCAGAAAATGTAGGTAAGATCCAGCATTCTAAGCAAGCCTGGGAGTGTGCATCCTTAGATGTATCATCCATGCAAGTTTGGTCAATATATGTCTTATATTAGTTACTTGGAAATGAGACCTGCTCCAAAAACTTTAACCTGCTCCAAAATCATTAACATGGTCATTCTTTAGCTGAAATTGCAGCATCTGAAACCTGACTGGTACAGTAAATCATACAACAAATCTCTGTTTAATATAGGGCATAGAAGTAGTTGAAAAGAAATCTGCTCCAAAAACTTTAACCTGGGACACCTATCTCAATGCCAAGGGTATTACATAAGCTCCCCCCAGCTTCGTTGAGGTGAGCTAAAAATGAATTCACACAACTTGGGACATTTACATATTACGTTTAATATAATGAAGTGTTAACCTGCTACTCTTGAAGAGATTTCTTCCTAAAAATTCTAATCCCCTATTGTAACCCAACCCTATCCCTTAGTGCCTTGATTTGTTCACTACCTGGGAGTAGTTGTATTTTAATATTCATGACCAATCATGGCCTCACTGTTCTTCATCGGATTTTTGAAGATTTTAAAGTAAAACTTTAATCTCCTATTGTGGCCCCATCCTACCCCTTGGAGCATGGTTTGAACAAAATTGAGTCTTTATCATATGAAGATGCTTGCATATGAAAAGGCCCTGCTGTTTTTGAAAAGAAGATCATTAATTTTTTTTATCTTTATACATATATATGTACCCATGTAAAACTCTGATCCCCAATTGTGGACCATCCAACCCCACGAGTTGAATACAAACTTGAATTTACATTATGTCTGGAAGCTTTCACCTATATAACATTTGCCTTTTCTGGCCAAGTATCCAAAAGATGCCACCAAATTTTAAATATATCTTAATTAATAAAATGTGAAAGAAATCTGAATCCCCTTCACCCAAGGATGCTTTGTGGCAAATTTGTTTGAAAATGGTCCAATGGTTCTGAAAAAATCAAAATATGCATAGTGATAATCAACACACAACAGAGGAACACTAGATACTCTTTGATCAGAAAAGCTCACTTGAGCATTTTGATCAGGTGAGCTTAAAAAAAATGGACAAACCATGGATCTCAGATACAGCTGGTTGGCATAATTAGCTAACAAATAGGCAATAAAAATATGACATATTTTCTTCAATATTATACTGAAGCTCTTCATGAGGAGGAGGAGGAGGTATATCAGAGTTGTGGAAAACTGCCGGTCATGCCGGCAAAACCAGCAAAAATGCGTGTGAGCGGTAAAAATGCTATCGATGTCGGTCCAAATGACTGACCCCTTTCTTGTTTTTTTGTTTTTGTTTTTTTCCATTTATCATCGGCACATTTTCCAGCTTAATTATTATAGGCCTACCTTATATATGTGATTGCGTAATACTTTTTCTTTACACAAGATCAAGACTATAAATGAAAGCGAAACCAGCATGATCTCGTGACGTATAAAATTTACACACTGAGGGAGAATTAGATAGAAAACATAAAGAAACAGATAAACACATGCTAAATATGAAAAATTTTGACAGAAAGAATTCAAACACAGTTGGGGAAAGCGGTATATCTAATGCTTCCGACTGTCCCGGCCACAGATTACGTTTTTTCATCGATCGTGTTGATATCTTTATTATCGATGCACAGAATTTCTTCAATTTTTAAAATCATTTTCTAGGTTTAATATAATTCCCAAATGCATAAATGTTTCCAAAAAAAAATACGTTTACTATGCTGAATTAGCATTGTCACCTGCCCCAAAGTGGTGAAATACAGTATTGTTATAAATGCAAAAAACAAAAACGTAAGAGGACTTGGAGATGGAGACTGAATGTTATATTGTTATTAAGTAAATAGATTTGTAATGAAGTTAATAAATTTTATGCTTTTTTTTTAAATTTTGCGACTTACTATTTTGGACCGGCAAAAATCACTTCGGACCGGCTTATTTTGTCTTCTTGCCAGTCCGAATGACTGGCTATCTGAAAAAGTTTTCCACAACTCTGGTATATAACTAATTATATATATTAAGGATGGGTATCGCCAAAAATTTCATATCATATCACGATTATTTCCCCAAAATATCACGATAATATCATGATATTTTTACACAAAATTTTTACTACAATTAAGGAATGTTTTTAAGTTTTGTGTGAGTTATTGGTGTGTAAATCACACAGACTTGTCACGTAGGCATATTTCATGAAGCGCGCTAGCGCTTCATGAAAAATATGCCTACATGCAAGTCTGTGTGATTTAAACACCAATAATTCACACTAAACTTAAAAACATTCCTTATATTTACATTTTACAAGTTTAAAAGCACCAGTAATATACTCAATATTTGAATTCCTTTATGCCCTATATCGTTACATTTTTATTAACGTCTCTGTAGCCTCATTGTGACGTCATTTTAGCGCGAGTTTCACTGTGTATATTTCTACGCGTGAGTATACACAAAAATGACTTTCAAATCAATTTCACAGTTGGCTTAGAAGAATAACACAGCAAATGTAAATATTTTCAAATGAATTTCTATAATTTTTCTTACAAATAAGCTGTAAAAACATAACTTCACTTTTTTTTTCATTTTTATATATATATAATATAAAACAATTTTGGATGCCATAGTTTAACTTTTTTCAACATTTTTTAGACTTCCTTTAACTTTTATTTAATAGTTTGAAGAAACAAATGAATAATTTCTAGATTTTATAATTATGTACCAAATACCTGTATTTTAGTCTCTGTATCACAATACATATCACGCAATAAAAAAATCACAATATACCGGTATACTGATAAAACTGCGCATCCCTAATATATATAGTAATAAATAGAGATATGGGTTAGAAACTTTGTCTTCCTTTTAGGAATGGGGTTGCTTTATACACAATGGCCATTGCAATTGCAGAATGCATCTTTATTCTGGCATCATTCAGGAAATTAATTATGATTTAGTGTACCATCATCAATTACCTCATCTTCAGATAGGTTAACACATTTATCTATGTTGAATTTTGACACATCATCAAATACTTCATCCCTTTGTTGCAGATCATGCTTTGGACATTCAAATCTATCTTTTCTTGAATCCAGATATGCCTCATATATCTCCTCTTTGCTATAAACACACACAGCTGAAGTAACAGTAGATGGTGAAGTGGAGAACAGAGCCACCAAATACCTCTTCTCAGAAACAAAAGTTCCATGCACAACATGAGTATAGTTGGTTCCATCTTTACCAGAACAAGCAATGGGGATGTCTTCATAAACTCTTTTTGGATTCTCACTATCAATAGACTTACAAAGTTTGACAAGTTTAGCTTGCGAGTCTTGATTAACTAGGAGAAAAACAAATTCTTCATTTTCCATGACAACTCTGTAATCCATTTTACTCATAGGTACCCCGTCTATCTTTTTCAAAAACACATCAAATATGCCACTTTCTTTCAAATCTGAACTAATAGCTTTGTCTTTGAGAGTTGGTAAGACAGAAAAAATAGCACTTCTATCTAATTTCTGCAGAGCAATGATAGGTGAATACTGTTTTGCAAACAGGACAATACTTTTGTTCTTTTGTTTATCCCTTACACGAATATTTAAAAAGATGCCAACTGCTGAAGCATCAACATCTGAGACTAATGCAATATTAGTCACATCAGGTGATATATTTTTCAAATTTTCTTTGTTCCTCCGAATGCAACGTCCACTGTTCGATGTGCTACATGTTATCAAACCATTGGATGTAACCACCATCACAGAATTGTGGTCATCACATGATTTTCCATTTTCAGTTTTACAGCCAACTTGAGGGCCTGTTATATTTTTCAACTCCTCTTGAAAATCTTCTCTGTTAAACTTGTACAAGACATTCTTTGCACTCACAAAAAAAGCATCAGTCTGAGGATCAAACTCTATATTTCCTAAAGGAAAATTTTTCACTGGATTTGAAAATACTGTGCTAATCTGACTTTCTACTGTAACAATTGTTGAAAAAATGCATATTGTATACAGTAATGCCACAAAAGATGCCATTGCAGGTTGGTGACTGTTTCAAAGCATTAACTGCTTCCAGTCTTCTCTGATATTCCTCTGTCCTTAGAACCATGCATTTAATCCCTTAATCAACTGACTCAGAATCCACATTTTGGCAGCTCCTGTTCAAAAATATAAGATAATCATTATATATGAATGGCTAAAATCAAAAACACTCTCTCAATCATTCATGCAAATAATAATACATAAAATTCTTTGTAGTAAAATGCACTGTGCCAGTAATAAATATTTTATAACCAAAATGTATATTTATACACATATAATTCAAAAATGACAAGATAGGCTTAGAACTCTTGTTTGGCCCCTGGTTTGGTTGTCTCTTAGAACAACTAGAACTGTCCAAAAGGGACAAATACCCCCCGCTGGTTTTTTTTAGAGAAGGTGCCAAATTACTAATATTTTATGGATTTAAGAGGTGTTCACAATTTTCTTATAAACATTTAGAGTGAAAATATAATTGCTCATTATATTTTTTCAATGAATGAATCTAAGGTGCAACCTAATAAAATATCAATACTAATACATTGTAATTACTTTGTTTTTTTAATACATTGAAAAAATAAATTGCAACTATCTTTCATCTTTGTGAGACATGACACTGTGCAAATTGATTGTTGAACAAAAAACAACATACATGTATTATACAAAACCAAATTATTCTTGATCACTTTATATCAAATTTATTTTAAAAATAAAAGGCTGGTCAGTACTTTGACAGACAATAAATTACAATTAAGGTATGTCACTCGTCAGGCTTTTAGAAAATTTCAGTCAGAACCTCTTACTTAAAAACTATTTATTACAATTCAATCTTTATAACATATTTAAATTCAACAATGTAAAATGTTCAACATTCAATTAAAAAACTGCTCAAAAATTCACAAAGAAGCAAGATTTATAAGGGACTATTTCTTGTGGCGGAAGGATATTTAGCAGAAAATTCTGCAAATCTACACATTTATTAAATTAAATATCTTGGAACTTAAGCCTCACATACTTTTATTCAGAGAATATTTTCCGTTATGATATGCCTGGAATATTATATATTGGTCTCAATTTATATTTTTATAATAAAATTTACACCTTCGCTCTGACAAACATTGCCAAGAAATGAAGATATATTAAGGAAGTCGAGATAAAATTTACACAGTTTTTTGCCTGAAAATTGCATATTTTGACCAATATTTCAAAATTTACATCACTGACCCCAGCTTTTTCTTTCATTATTTTAAACTACTCGATACTTTTGACCGATCAGCACTTAAGTCGTAAAAAGTTTGATACAAGAAAATATTCTATTGCCTATTTAGATTTTTAATACCCCAAATATGAGACATTTTTAGTGCAAAAAGGTCACACAATAATTTACGCGCATTAATTTGCATGATTTGTTCAATGATATATATTATTCAAACTATTTTACGTAAACAAATATTATGTTCATTGCCATGGTTATATCTTATAAAATATGATAACGGTTAAAGTGATTAACCAAAGAGTTACAATTTAGGTGCAAAAAGGTCAACTTAATTGTACCGTAGCTCAGTTAGATGCACACTGACCCCCCATTTTCTCTCCGATTTTGAGTCATACTATATGAGTACTTATCCAAAATATACTTCTCAAAAAATCCTTGATATAACAAATTTCACGAGTGACATACCTTAAGAGAATTAGAGAACAGAGATCTTTAATTCTTTTGCCAAATTCCCAGGAGATATAGATAACACATGCTTGATCAGAGATGCCCTAACAACTTCCCACACTGATCTCATTAATTAATCTTAATAATATAACGGGATGCATATCCACTCATTACTCCCAAGGGACAAATGGATTTACACTATCTGCTGTGTAATGTTAAAACTGTTTTTAATAGGGGTGAAACGATACACCTCCTTCACGGTTCGATACGTATTGTATAATTTTGTCTCGGTTCGGTTATTTTCGATACGATACATTTTGATAGAAGGAAACAAATTCTACGTTGTTTTATGCTTTCTTTTTCTAAATCTAGTCACATATTTTACGAATTTTATTTGCAAATTGACTAGAAGAAATTGATTAAAATTATTTGACTGTCAAAAATTATTTTACAAGCTATCAGTCATCAAAAATTTACGTTTTCTATACTTATTTATTCTGAGTGACGTGTTATACCTTATGCCAAACCCGACTGAATAACGATCCCGACCGAAAAATGAACCGAACCAAAAATTAGAGATTTTGCACCGTGTATCAAACTGAGAAAAAATACCGCGGTGCATAGATACCGCGGTGAACCGTTTCACTCCTAGTTTTTAATACCTGGTGATGTTTTTTTTTAGTTCTAATGAGTAGTTTTAAGCTGTAGTTCACATTTTTGTACAGTTCAGATGTTCTAGATTCTATGTCTCAAATGTTAGACATTTATAAACCCATAATGACCAAGTCAATAAAAATGAAAAAAAAATCTGTAAAATGCATAAAAATTACCAAATAATGTTGAAAATACCAGGTGTACAGTACAAATTGTTTTTCTTATATGATGACCTCCTAAATGCCAATTGTGACATCATGACCTTGCACATCTTCCCATACTTTCCTAAAAAGATGCAGAAGACAGGAATTTTCTTTTCAGACAATATACACCATATTTACTGCAACAAAGATTTTAAGAAAAGTGACATTCAAAGATTTTTACACAACATATCTAAAAATTAGTGGGAGATGGCTCTGGACCATATTTTCTCAAGGAAAATCATCCATTAAATTAGCCATTTTGAAGGGGGTTTTTCTTCTGTCAAAAACTTACAAATTAATGATGTGAATTTCATATTGCGATATGTTGAATATTTTTAACTGTATTGCAATATGTATGGCAATATTTTTAATAACAATTAAACTGCTCTTTTCTAATTTTTTTTAACCTCCATTTATAAGCAAAGTGTAATTATTATAATAAGTAAACGTTGTAACAAAAAAGTTCTTGTTAATTTCACTACAGTTCTGCAATGAAATGCAACCAAACAGCAACCTTACTGTTTGGCACAATTGAAAACATTTCTGACATAATAAACTTTATATTCTACTTTAGAAATCTAAAACTCAAGCATTTTGTCGGTATATCAGTACTGGATAAATGTATCACAATACGATATTTTTTGTTAACGAATCACAATATACCGGAATATCAATATTATTGCACAGCCGTAGTTAAGTATGACTAAAATGACCCTGCTGTTCTGCATGTTTTACATAATAATTTTCAAAGACTTTTTAATTCTCCTATATATTCCTATGTAAATTGCCTACCCCTTATTGTGGCCCAACCTTATCCTCAGAGATCATTATTAACAAACTTGCATCTACAGTGTGCTTTCACATATGTCTCATACTTAGGGTCACTCAGTAAGTAATGCAACTTAGGGTTCATCATAATAAATGTAGAAGCAGTTAATTTTATTTTTTCACAAAAGAAAAACTCTGAGAAGATCTCCTAATCACTGAAATATGCATGTTTTTTAGCCGGGCTTTGCTGAAATAAATAGCACATGTTCAGAAAAGTAAACAAAAAACCTAACAGCGTCAAAGCAGACGCTTCTGATAAACAAAATAGTCACATTGAAAGACGATACTTAAACAAATATTTTTTTACATCTCAATCTACGGATTTGTTAATTGATCAATATTTTTGTTTGAGAATTAAATTGAAAGAGGAATTAGATATTTACTTTATTAGGGTAATCGTGATATAACAATTTGTGCACATACGCTACTGAATGCATATTGTAAGCGAACTATTTTCAATAAGCGCGGGCTTTTCGACAGGTTGCCTATATTTCATATCGTTTTCGTCGATGTTATGTGAGTGGTTATATTCTCTGTTTTGTCTTTCAGCAAATAAATAGATAAGTAAATTGGAGTCTAATTCAAATATATCTAAAGAAAAATCAGCAAACCATATGGTTCAACATTCTTTTTAAAAAAAAGTTTGGAAATTGACAGACAAACATTTTTTGTAAAAAATTGTTTTCTTAAAAGTTAAAATTAGTGACCTTAAATGTTTAAATTAGTGACATTAAATAAAATAAATGACTTATATATTCTCCTCACTAGCCATATGTTATTGGTAGAATTAAAAAAAAAATGTATGACATTTTTTGTTCGTTTACTGATATTATAGTATAATTAGTCTGAATTTACGTCCGTGATGCATGTATAAACATGCAGTAAGCTCACTAACAATGTCGTGATATCTGTAATTGTTTTTTAAGATCAGTATAGCATTAAGGTGTCTTAAATGGCAAGAAATTTAATGTAATAATGAATTTTAAAAACATCGGTGGTCATTTATCAGATGTAATTTGGTACGATACCGTGTTAATTCCTGCTGATATTTTCAGGGTTGATCTTGTGAAAACGGCTTAACAGGAGACAATTTATTAATTTTTTCCTTTCAAAATAATTGCAAAAAGATGATGATTTTATGATTATATTAACGGCATAAAATAACAGCGAACACCGACTACTTGCAGCAAACAAGTGCGCCGCCATTACGAATTCGTAAAACAAAGAGACAGTTACGGATACTCGTAATTTTCTGAAAAAAAAAAATGTGTAGGAGGTCAGTCGGGTATAACCGGAAACAAACAAATTTTCTTTAGCCTAATGATGTATGTATGTAAATATTCATGAAGATTAATCTTACAGTTGTAATACTGGTAATGCTGTAATGTTTTCAATATATTACTGCTCAAATAAGAAAGTCAAAATTTGAATGCGTTTAAAGAAAAGGGTTTGAAAATACGGTATTACTTCGATAACCCTGAATGCAATTAAAATAACTTTCTCCTTTCTAATAAATAATTTCGAACAAAAATCCTTATGATGGTTAAGATCTTGTGTTTGTTTGTATGTTGTTTAACGTCCCTCTCGAGAATTTTTTCACTCATATGGAGACACTACCACTTGCCGGTGGAGAGCTCCAAATTTTGTCCTATACTCGGCACTTACGGCCATTGAGCAGTGAGGGATCTTTTTCATGCAAGCACCTATTGCGACACGGGACCACGGTTTATACGGTCTCAACGGAAGGACCGGTCTCCACGTCCCACAGTGG